ATGCCATTTTTATTTAACCAGCTTTCATTTTTATTATAATTATTATAAAAGTGACACAGTGCACGTGATCAATAAAGCAAAACACAAATAACATAGAATGCTATAAAATTAAAAGTACTTCTGCCAAAGTAGCAAACTGACACAGGCTGTTGATTTCCTTTCCCAGAATCAACTCTAGAGAAATAAAATAGCAGCTGGATTCCAGAAACTCCATAAATGAGACCGAAGGCTCTCTCTCCTCCAGATAACCTTTCACTATAGAAACTAGCAGCAGTAGCTTATCCCACTAGTGTCAGAATTCAGTGGGCAACATTATGGCAGTACGGAAATGCTGCTGGAGTTCAGAGTTGATTAAAACATGGGGACTGACCGTCTGTTCTCAGTAGTTCTTTTTTTCTTCTCCCTTTGTCCAGGGATACTGCCTTCTACTTCCTCTGAAGGGTTTAAAGGTACAAACTGTTGCATAGGGGTGTGACCATATCTCGAAATGATTCTTGGTTCTTTGTGCCTATGCTTCACAACCCTATGAGTTTTCCTCTGTATTTTCCTTAATCTCAACTAGTACTGATGCCAGTTAAGGCCTGGCCTTTGAGTCCTCTCCAGTATATCTTATCAGAAAGAAGAACTAATTTCCTGAAAAACATACCAACATAACTAGACAGTTGAGGACTACAACTGTCTCAAAAAAAAAAAAAAATCAGTAAACTGATGACATACATGATGTAAAGAAGAATTATTAGAACAGATGAATGGCCGGGTGCCGTTGCTTCATGCCTGTAATCCCAGCACTTTGGGAGGCAGATCTCCTGAGGCTGGGAGTTTGACACCAGTCTGACCAACATGGAGAAACTCCATCTCTATTAAAAATACAAAATTAGCCAGGTGTGGTGGCACGTGCCTGTAGTCCCAGCTACTTGGAGACTGAGGAAGGAGAGTCGCTTGAACCCTGGAGACAGAGATTGCGGCGAGTCAAGATGGCACCGTTGTACTCAAGCCTGGACAATGAGCGAAACTCCATCTCAAAAAAAAAACCAACCACATAAACAAAAATGGGTGAACCAAGAATTTAAAATAAGCATGATGAATATACTTAAAGATGTAAGGCAACATGCTAGTAATATGAAATATCCAAACACTGTAAAAACAGAACCATATGGAAATAGTAGATATGAAAAATATAATTAAAATGAAGACTACAACAAATAGGATGGTATGAGTGAATTAGTCAATTGGAAGATTAGAAAGAACACTCTTCCGGGAAAAAGCAGGAAAAAAAAGAAATAGAAAATAGAGTAGAAAAACAGAAATAGAGAATTGTTTTACTAGTGCCAACATCTTAAAAGGAGTTCCAGAAAAAGAGAAAAATAAAAATGTAAGAAGGTGGCCAGGCACAGTGGCTCACACCTGTGACCCCAGCAGTTTGGGAAGCCAAGGTGGGTGTATCACCTGAGGTCAGTTCAAGACCAGCCTGACCAACATATTGAAACCTTGTCTCTACTAAAAATAAAAATTAGCCAGGCTTGGTGATGCATGCCTGTCATCCCAGCTACTTGGGAGGCTGAGGTAGAAGAATCACTTAAACCCAGGCGGCAGAGTTTGCAGTAAGCTGAGATCACACCACTGCATTCCCGCCTGGGCAACAAGAGTGAAACTTTGTCTCAAAAAAAAAAAAAAAAAAAAAAAAAAAAAAAAAAAGGTGAAATAATTGAAGAAATAATGGAGATACATTTCCGAAAATTCAAAATTGATGAAAGACTTCAAATTGGCTAAAGAGGTCATAGTGTACCAAATAGAACTAATAAAGGAAAGTGCATACCTAAGCATATTAAAGTAGAATTAAGAATAGCAGAGAGAAATTTCTGAAAGTTTTAAGAGAGAAAAAGCAGATGACCTGTAAGGGAATGAGAAGGTAGACATGTGACAGTTGAACAGCAATGTGTAATGAGAAAAAACAATAAAGTTTAAAAGTAACCAAAGAAAACAACTTTGAACCAAGAAATTTAAATCTTCCTTTCAGATGTGAGGGTGACATAAAATATTCTCAGGCATGTTTGCCTTGGTTCATTTGCCATATGGCCATTTGGAAGCAGGCTCAGTGAAAACTAAATCTAGGAAATGCTAGAAGTATGTGATAAATGATGATCAAAATTTATGGTTGCCTGAAGAAAAACACTAGGATCAATCATTCTAGGTCATAAAACCGTGGTGGAGAGGGGAAATGGGACACTGTATAAATTTAGCTATTGTGATTAGACTATAGAGAAGAAACTATTCTATATTATTAACACTAAAATGTCATAAACAAGGCTCAAGAGTTAATCTTGATTTTCTAACTTCCTTTTCTGTTCCTATGTCATATGTCATTGCCACTGTCTCTTATATCTCATGCCATCTTCTTTCTTGGTTTCCTTTTTTGTTTTGTTGGACTATCTCCTCAAAGAGGTTTGGTTTTTTTTCATATGTAGTCATAAGTATGAACTTTAAAATTCTGTTAATTTACCCTTGTTAATATTGCTAGTTTAACTGGAAATGGCTGTTGTAGGTAAAAACAGCCGTAGACAACATGTAAATGAATGGGCATTGCATGATTTGACTCTGAGCAGGCCAGATCAAGCCATAGTTTGCCAAGCCATGTTATAAAAGTTTTAATTCAAAGGCTTATAACAAGACAAAATAGAATAAAGAAATTTAAGTGCAATAAATTTAGGCAGTTACACCCCTCACTTCTACCACTTAGGAAAGTAATGCCGGTTCTTCACTGTTTTATCTTCCAAAGTTATCTGAGGAACAGAGATCAGAACCTGAGCACATTACTTCTGAAAGTTTACCATGTCTTATTAAGAAAATACAACTGTCCCTTGGCATCCTTGAGGGACTGGTTCCAGGACCTCCCTTGGATGCCAGCATCCTTAGATACTCAATCCATAATATGGTGTAACCTACGCACATCCCCTCCTATGCTTTAAGTCATTTCTAAGTTATTTATAATACTTGATGCAATGTAAATGCTATGTAAATAGTTGTTTTAAGGAATAATGACAAGACAAAAAAAGCCTGTACATCTTCACTGTATATGCAACCATTTATGGGTTTTGTTTTTTGTTTTGGGGGATTTTATTCGAATGTTTTAAATTTATAGTGGTTTGAATCCTTGAACACATAACCCAGGGATATGGAGATTCAACTGTACCAGGCTTTACATATACTAAAGATTGTGGCATGAGAGTTTAGGCTATTATTAAGATCAGATTGATGTATGTGTGTGTATAAATATAAAAATAAATATTGTATGTGTATGTATACAAATTATATATTATGGTCTGTGTGTGTGTATAATTTTATATTTACTGTGGAATACATTTGAATAGTCTTTAAAATGTCCCAAATTTATTGAGTAGGAATGTAAAAGGACACATAAATTTAACGTAGACCAGGAAAAAATAAATACTGGATTATTTGGTTCCACTGAAGTAGGTAAAGAAGACCAAGATCAGTATGGCTGGCGTCTCCTGCCGTACATAGTATTCTAGGTTGATGTAAATATTTCACTTCAGTCTGATGTTTCTATAGCTTTTTGAGCATGTGATAATTGTTCATGGGTTAAAAAAAAGTTAAAACAATGCCATTGTTTTAGATCGTGACAATTATGTTGTGAAGTAGCTGAGTTCATAGAATGCACTTTATATATATGAAATTATATTTCAAGTAATATTTTCAAAAAAGAATAAGAAAAATTGGCATTTTGCCATATCAGTGTTTTTACAAATTATTGGATAATGCAGAATGATCATCACTTATTTAATAGATTTCTTAGAAAAATACAGCATTATTAACTTTGGAGAGTTTAAGCCACTTAGGAAAACAAAATGGCATATTATAGCCCAGAATTTTCATTTATTTATTTATTTATTTATATTTTCTTTAGAGATAGGGTCTGACTGTCGCTCAGGCTGGAGTGCAATGGCACAATCATAACTTACCACAATTTCCAACTCTGGGGGGATCTTCCCACCTTATCCTCCCAGATAGCTTGACTGATTTTAATTTTTTGTAGAGACAAGGTCTCACTATATTGCCCAGACTCGTCTTGAGCTCATAGCCTCATATGATCCTCCCACCTTGGCTTCCCAAAGCACTAGTATTATAGGCATGAGCCACTGCACCAGGCCCAGAATTTTAAATTTTATTTTTTGGAAGTTATTCTATTTTATGACATATTTTTAATGACTCTGACCTTATTAAGTAACCCCGTGTTTCACCTTTTGTCAAATTTTTTTCCCCAGGTCAAGATTTGAATATTTAATCTTTACTATCAAATTACAGATAATAAATCCATTAATTAAAGCATTATCCTTTCCTTCCTTATGTAAAAAATGGTTATATTATAGCATACCTCTTTCTGCTTTTTACCCTCTAGCTGGCAATTGACATTCTTTCAGTCTTTCCACAAATCCTTTAGTATTTGTTATATTCCAGGCACTGTTTTAGGTACTGGAAACAAAATAATGAACAAAACAGCCTCTTTCCTTTCCGAGCTCATAGAGTAAGGAGCAGGCCATATATAATTGTTTATTGTTTAATCAAAAAGTTATGTAGTGTGTTAGAAGTTATATATTTAGACACATAGTGCAGGATAAAGCTGTATTGATCTTTTAAAGAGAAATTCATAAGGGCTGAGTGTGGTGGCTCATGCCTGTAACACCAGCAGTTTGGGAGGATGAGGCAGGACTATTGCTTAAGGCCCAGGAGTTTGAGACCATCCTGGACAACAAAGCAAGACCCCATCTTTACAGCTGGGACATGCCTATAGTCCCAGCTAATTGGGAGTCTGAGGCAGGAGGATCCTTTAAGTCCAGGAGTCCTAGGCTGCAGTGAGCCATGATTGTGGCACTGCACTTCAGCTTGGGCAACAGAGTGAAACCCTCTCTCTTAAAAAAAAAAAAAAAAAAGTACTAATCTAACAGGAATGTTTTCATCTTGTTTTTTTCTTTAATTTATAGTTCCAATGACAGGATTTACACAGAGAGCAACTATTGATCCAGAACTGAATGAAATACATGTCTTATCTGGACTCAGCAAAGATAAGGAAAAGAGGGAAGAGAATGTTAGAAATTCATTCTGGATTTATGACATTGTGAGAAATAGTTGGTAAGGAACTCTTGTCTCTGTTGCAATCCCGGTGTAACAGTTATTTGAGATTGTTGGTTTATTCAAAACAAGAGAGAAATAGTCTTATGTTAATTTGTGACATTGTACATTTAAAAGTCAGTATTGAAAAAAGGTATCGGTACTTATGTATACAATGATGTTCAGTGAATGGATTTTACCTGTGTTTTTCAATTAGTAGATAGTTCCTGGTCTGGGACTCGGGAGAATTGTATTTTAGTCTAGGTGCTGTTCTCAAGTAGATGTGTGAACTTGAGAACAATGCTTTTTTAATGTTCCCAGATCTTAGTTTTCATAAAACAAAGAGGTTTGACTATAGCAGGGAGGGGACAATATTACTTAGCATTTTCCAACCATGACTTTTGTGTCCTAGAGCATCTCACAGAACTGGTGCTACATATTTTGCTTTGGGAAAACATGGATCCAGCTCTGACATTTATGTGATTGCTCCATAAATGAATATTGTGCAGAACAGAAGCACTTCAAAGAACTTCTCCATTCAGTAATGGAGAGTAATGCTCTGCAGCTAAGGAGTTTATTGTTTTCTAAATAGGACATTTGTTTACAGTCAAATGACAGCAATGCATATTATCCTTTTTTTTATTGTGCTTACAAGGACAAGATAGCACATCTTTCAATCTTAGTTTGAGCTTTCATGTATGCTGTTTGTATTTTATAACACAGGATATATGAGCTGTTTGATGGACATCAAAAGAACTTTAGAACTCAGTTCTAACAAATTCAGATTGTTTTATCAATGACTAGAACTTTAAGATTTGATATGAACACATTACTAAAATTTTTTGTTAGTAATTAGACATGTAATTAATTTGCTTGCTACAGTTGTATTATCTTTGCTGCTAATTCTCTAGGGTAGAATGCCTTAAAAGCAATTTCTTGCAGGTCTTGTGTCTATAAGAATGATCAAGCTGCAAAGGATAATCCAACTAAAAGTCTTCAGGAAGAAGAACCATGTCCAAGGTTTGCCCATCAGCTTGTATACGATGAGCTACACAAGGTATCCTAACTAGAGTGACCTGTAAACTTTCCGTGGCCTACTGTCTGAAATAATTTCCAAATGTAGCTTTCTGATTGTTTTAAACTGGATTTGAGTAAAAAGTTATAATACATAGTAGACATTCAATAGAGTATGTAGCAAGCACTCAATATCACTTCTCCCTAAAATTCCTTAAGGGAATGAGCATTTTTACATAGCCTGTAATTCTTGGTACTTCTCCTTTTTTGAAAATAGTCAGTGGCTGCTTCTTAGCTGTATAAATCTGGATAGATGACGTAGCCTATTGTTTCTACAATGTGAATATCCAAGTAAAAGGTGTACATTTGTCAGCATGTGGGTACCTTGTTTCATGATATAAACATAGTTTTGGTTTTAGATTTTCCCATTGTGTAAGAAGTCTTTTTATCTTTATTTTCCTGATATACTAGTGATATCTCTTTCAAATCAGCCTTGTGAAATGGTCCTGTGTTATGAATTTTTAGTGTCATAGTGTTGAGAGTTATTTCTTTATTTCGCCCTTAAACTTAACTGTGTACTTTAGTGATTGGACTTATATTATATGGCAAATTACGGACAGAGACCAATTCTTTCTGTTTAGCCATGAATGATTATTTAAATTCTACACGATATACTTTGAGACCTTTAGGTAAAAGATACCATGGGAGTGAGTAAAAGCCCTTTCTCTTATAGCCTCTCAATTTAAGGTATAAATAAATTTCCATGTAAAGGATAGGGATAACTCTATTATGTAACACCAATGAATATAAGTGTTTTCAAAATTTTTGGAACTATTTTAATTTAATAAATTAAACATTAATTTTAATTAAAATAGTTAAATATTTAAATGCCTTGTATAAGTACAGAATAACATTCAAGTGCGATAAATTTAGGCAGTTATACCTCTCACTTCTACCACTTATGAAAGTGATTTCGTTTCTTCACTGTTTCATTTTCTAAAGTTATCTGAGGAACAGATAACTCTAATAATAGTGAAATCATTATCAATTCCTTTTGCATGTCATTTTTGGTATTGAATTATGAAATAATATTTTTAATGTTATTTCACAAATTTGATGTGCCATTTAATATTTGGCATTTCAGTTAAAGCAAAATTAAGATGTTAATTTTTTTTTTTTTTTTTTCTGAGGCAGAGTCTTGCTCCGTTACCCAGGCTGGAGTGCAGTGGCACGATCTTGGCTCACTTGTAACCTCTGACTCCCAGGTTCAAGTGATTCTTTTTCCTCAGCCTCCCCAGTAGCTGGAACTACAGGCACATGCCACCACCCTATAGCCTGGCTTATTTTTTATAGTTTTAGTGGAGATGGGGTTTCACCGTGTTAGCCAGATGGTCTCGATTTCCTGACCTCATGATCCTCCTGCCTCAGCTTCCCAGAGTGCTGGGATTACAGTCATGAGCCACTGCACCCAGCCTAAATTTTTTTTAAGCTTCTAGTTGACCTGTTGATGACTGTTAACTTTCAGTGATTCAGCATTATGTCAGAATTTTTTAAGATATTCATTATATGATCAATATTTTGATTAATTTTATCATCCCCATTATTTGTTGTCGTCAGCAAATTATATCTTAGATTAAATTCTTCCTTTCATTGTTTTTGTTTCATGCCTTCCACTGTCATTGTAATATAGTAATATAACTCATTTTAGCATGCATGCAGTTTTTTAAAGTAGCCGTGGTGCCTTAAAGTAAAACAGAAACTTGAGAAAAATCAAGAGCAGCTTTGGTAAAAATACAGTATAATTTTTAATTTTTTAATTTCAATAGGCTTTATGCAATGCTACTAAAATTTCTTGGGTATGCATGAATATTTTTAAATCTGGCTTATTTTGCCAATTATAGGTTCATTATTTATTTGGTGGGAATCCAGGAAAATCTTGCTCTCCAAAGATGAGATTAGATGACTTCTGGTCACTGAAGTTGTGTAGACCTTCAAAAGATTATTTACTGAGGCATTGCAAGTACCTCATAAGAAAACACAGGTATGAGAATAGTTCACTGAAAACTTTTAATTAACATTGTCAGCTATTGTTGATATCACCTAGCTTTGGAGATACAACTTTCTTGGCAAATTTAATAATGAAACAGTATGAATACTATGAAGATCATGAATTTTGTAAACGCCCTGTTATTCTACTTGTTTTTGCTTTCCATTTTCAAAGGAAGATACAAAATATAGATATTGATGCTAAACATTTGTAAATGCAGAACAAGTGAAATTTTGCAACTGTTAAAGTAATGGAAAAAAATTTTTGTGAAGGTGATGTGCCTACATTGAAGTAACTCAAGGCTAACTACAAATTAGATCAGTTCTGGCTTAATGACACATGGCTGAGCTTTTGATCACTCTCTTAACAGTGAATGTGGTGATATAGTTGACTATGCAATATCTTCATAATTTGATGTTTCACAATACAATTTCAAAATATGCTTGTAATTTTATATCACCTTTATTTTTTAATTGTAAAATCATTTAATCAAACATTTTCATATATATACATATGCATTCACACACACATACACACGGACATGCACACGCACTCACACTCTGGGTCATGTTGGCTTTTTAGCCTAGAAGGTAATAAACTACTAAAAAATGCAGAAAGAGGTTTCTGTCCTTTTGGTTACTGTAGTGTGTTATATGGTAATAAAAATTTGCTTTAGGGCCAGGTGCAGTGGCTCATGCTTATAATCCCAGCACTTTGGGAGGAAGAGGTAAGAGGATTGCCTGAGGCCAGGAAAGACCAGCCTGGCAATTATTTTATGCTAGACACTGCATATGATTCTGTGGCAGAGCCAGGATTTGAGCCTGAGTGTTTTGACTCCAGAGCTCACCACTTAACCATCAGATACACATACATATCAATGAAGCAAATGAACAAAAATCTTCCCTCAAGTTTTCATTCCTAAGAAGGGAGACTAACAATAAACATAATAAGGAATTTATATTACATGTTAGATGGTTAGTACTATGAAAAAAACCAGATTGAGTTATTGTTTGTACAGGTGTGGGAGGTGGGAATGTAATTTTAAATAAGAATATCAGAGTAGACTGCACAGTGAAGATGGCATTTGAGTAGAAACTTAAGGGACAAGAGGGACTGAATCATATCGCTGTCCGGTGATGGGGGAAGTGTCCTAGACAGGTGATAGTCAAGACTCTGAGGTTAAAAAAGATGCCTGAATAATTTGAGGAGTGAATAGAGAAGTGTGGCAGAAGTAGAATGAGTGAGGTGATTGTGGTAGGAAATGAAGTTGAAGGGTCTAGGAAAGTGACAGCTTGTAAAGGGCCTTAGGCTTTTACTCTTAGGGGAACATTGAAAGATTTTAAGTAGAAGAATGACACATTCAGGCTTGTATTTTATAAAAATCATTCCGTGTTTTCTTCCAGAAGAAAACTTGTGGCTGCTTTCCCTCAGGTGGGGAGAATTCTTGAGAAACAACAGGTTTCTGTGTTGGAAAAAATTAGTTCAGTTTGGGGCACTTTAGGTTTGAGAAGTTTGTGAGACATGCAAGCAGAGGCCATCTGTGAACATTTGGTGAAAAGACTTGGCCAGACATTACTGTGAATCACAGGGAGAAGGAGCTTGCTCAGGGTCAGCAAGAAGAGTGAAGGGTTGTTGGATATTCTCTTGAGGACCACCATCATTTGAGGGACAGGAAGAGGAAGAGACACTTTCCAAGAGATCAAAAAGCGCACCTTAACATTCTGGATAAACTTTGAAGACTGTGCCAACAGAATTTCTTGATGGATTTGATATGGGTATGAGAGAAAGACAACAGTCAAGGATGACTCAGGGCATCTTGAGAATCTTGTCAACTATTAATTCAAACTGACAATAAAAGGCTCATTTTAGACCTTGTTCTCTACCAAGCTGTTAGACGAATTCAAGAATTTGAGGGACATCGCTACATGTAGACATAATAGATAGACGTTTGTATCTATGAATTGGGTAGAACACAAAAATTGCCTTTTTAATTCAAATGTTATGCAGATTTCTTTTTTCATAATGTGAGAGCTTACACCACACTGCTAGACTGGCTTATTTGTGTTGTTGTTCTTAATAGACAATAATTATTATTCTGTTTAGTTAGAATATAAATTTGGAAGGAGAGAAGTATATTGTGTGCCAAGGAAGTATCTCCTTGTTCTTACTGATGTCACGTGATATAATAAATAAAATACCACTATTACTTTTTCATATGACATTCAGGTTTTCAAACTTGATGATGAGTTGAGGGTAGAAATGGGCAAAAAAAAAATTGTTACAGGATTAATTTCTATTCATTTAGGAACAGGGCAGAACTATTGATTAAAATATGATTCTAGACTGCAGACATAAGTGCGTGGTAAGTTCTTGCTGGCCAAAAATAGTGTAGAAAATGAATAGTTATTTTTATTCCTCAAATAACTTTGAGGAAACTGATCTCTTTATACTGGATATAGGATTGTAGGTATATGTTGGTTAGGTTATTTCAGGTTATAAAGGATAATGACATGCTTTGAATACCTCAACTGAAAAAAAATTATTATTAGATTATTCAGAGAATTAAGGCACTTTCTCAGCATTTTGAACAGTGAAGCTGGATGGAGAATTGTTTAGGATACTGGAATGATTCTAGTAGCCAGGCACTACATAGCTTTTCCTTGTATTTCTGTCTGCTTCTTTCCCTATCTGCTTGTCCTGTTCTGGCTACTCCTGACTTTCTCCCAACCTCGTGGCCTAGACAGACAGACAGATAGACAGAATCTGCCCTCTCTATTTTTGTCTGCCCTTTACTGTCCTTATATTTCTCACATTCAGATTACCCAAGAGAAAGAATCTTCTTAGAAAGAATTTCTTGGGGATAGTGTCCCTGCTGGGAAGAATTCTGCCAAACCACTTTATAAACTACCAATCAAAGCATAGGTGCCAAAATGGTCTAATCTAATCTTTTGTGGACAAGATGGTAGAGTAACATGGCCTGTACCTAAAGGACTCTCATCTGAAAGTTGTAAGCCCCCTGTCACTCTTAGGGTACTGCCTGGTACAAGAGAGCTGTAATATTTTGCTAGTCTTTCTCCCTGCCTAAAGTACAGGTACCCTATCACCAAGGATGCCATCAACCTGAACACCATCGTGAAAGGCTCATCATCTTTCCTACTTAAAGGAAATTTGTCTTTTCCTTGTCTGTATATTTTAAAAAGCATACCAACTTATTAGAAATAAATCTGTATGTAATTATGCTATAACAGAAAGACATTATCTTTTTCAAATAGATAATGTAGATTCAAATAGTTTTTTTGTTGTTGTTGTTTAGGAGACCTCATCCAGATTCATTCTTTGCATCTCAGCTTTTCATCTGTTGGGGTGTTTGTTTGAGACAGGATCTCACTCGTCATCCAGGCCAGAGTGCAGTGATACGATTGTGGCTCACTACACCCTTGACCTCCCAGGCTCAAGTAGTGCTCCCATTTTGACTCTCGAGTAACTGAGACTGTAGGGACATGCCACCACACCAGGCTAATTTTTGTAGAGATGGGGTTTTGTCATGTTGCCCAAGCTGGTTTCAAACTCCTGGGCTCAAGCAATCCATCCACTTTGTCCTCCCAAAGTGTCGGGATTACAGGCATGAGCCACAGTGCCTGAACTTGGTTTTTTTGGTTTTTAAATGGTGATAAAATAGATCATCATCATAGTATTATTGTGAGGATAGATGAAATGATACATGTAAAATACTTGATACAGCATCTGGCATATTACAAATGCTTTATAAGTGGTTGCTGCAGTTGTTTTTACTGACTGAGACTTGGACATAATCTCATTAAAAGTAATCAGTGTTAATAATACTCATTTAAAGATACCCTGCTTGTTTCAGTTTCCAAGGTGTCTGTTAAGCATCTCCATTAGAAAATATACAAATCTAAGCAAGTATTTTTATGTCTATTTGTTTTGGATGAAACACAGTGGGATTTTTTGAAGTTCTCTTTTATAAAATACTTAGCATATTCACTGTATTTGGTAGTTGGTTTAGTCCTACCTTGTAGTTTTAAGAGAAGAGTAAGAAATGCTCCTACCCATCCTCTAGCACCACAACTGTCTGTGACCACCTGGCATTACTGTTACCTTTCCAGGAACTCCACATCTACACTACCTACATGGCAGTATTGTTACTTCTGGATTCCTAAACTTCAGTTTTCTGGACATTCAGAACAACTCCTCATATGTAGTATAGGAATGTTTTATTCTAGCTCTGAAAGACGTTTCTGATGTTTTTCTCAATAACTCCAGATAATTATTCTTGTTTACATTTTCTAGGTTTGAAGAAAAGGCCCAGATGGATCCCCTTAGTGCTCTGAAATATTTACAAAATGATCTTTATATAACTGTGGATCATTCAGACCCAGAAGAAACAAAAGAGGTAAAGAAAGGTGATAATAAACTTCAGAAATTGAGTATTTTTAAAATATCTTCCTAACTTATATTTAATGATTTTGCTCTTGAGTGTTTAATGGAAAAATGAAGAAAATATGATGATATCAGTAATCTTTAAAATGTCACAGAGAAAGTGAAATAAAAAATTGAATAGGCATGTTTTCATGTGAAAAGATTCCAGTCACCAAAAACTTTTGGTCCATTCAGAAAAGGATTATCAGTTGTAAAGTTTTAACTTAGTTTTGTGTTTTAGGAAACAAATAGAAATTTTTGCTTTGTCCATAGTCCCATGATTATTTTACATAAGGATTACATAATGGTTCAGTGTAAATTTTTCTGTTGATAGTCAAGATCCCCCAAGAGAGAAAAGAAAACTCCCCTGTTGCTTAGGGAGAAAATGAAGAGAGGTTGGAGGGAGTTAGAATCCTTGGTGCCTTATTATTTAGTTATGTGAATGTTGTAGCAGTATAGTTTGTCTATAGACTACTAATTTCATTAATCACTAGTTGCTAAGCTTGAGAAATCAGTTACCCAGTCATTACTTTTCAGTTTTTTTGTTGCATAGCATTGGGACAGAAACAACTGTTTCTAAAGATTTCACATCCTCAAGGACATCTTTGCTTGTCCATGGTGTGTGAATATGCCTGCAATAATTTTTGTGGTTTTATATGCTCTCTTTCCACTAATATCTGAGATTCTTTTTGTCTTTTTCCTCTTGCCAGCCATCATTGTTGATCTAGCAACATCTGAACTGCAGTGTATTTGCTTCCACTCACAGAATTCGTGTTGATTACAGTATATGTAGTTCTGATCCTTAGGTCTCTTTCCCTGTTAGCTGCTGCCTTGCTTTGGCTTTGTAATAGCAGTATCAAGCTGTGCCTGGCACACTTCAGCATTGACACAGGTGTCAGATTTAATGTTGAATCACTTTCAGGCTCCGGGTTCATTGTACTTTCAAGCAATAGAGCCTGTGTGTCTTCAGCACCATAACAAAGAGATACTCTTTAAAAGTTTCGTACTATAAAATTAAGTCCTAAGTCTCTCAATATTGATTACAGCCCTTTAGTAGGTAGAGAATTTGCAGAACGTACTTTAGAACTCCCTTGAAAGGGGGACAGTTAATTGTCTTTCCTTGAGTCTTCAGTTAATCAATACTAGAGGAAATAGGAAAAATAATTGTAGTTTTGCCGAGTGGCAGAATATGTTTGGTTTAATCTGTTATAACTTATAACTGTACTTAGTTCTGAAGAGTCCATTAATGTTAGGCCATGCATTTAGAGTTATGCATAGATTTCCTTGTGTTTTCTCCATATTCTATGTAAAATGGCTGTAACTGGGAGCAATTATTTTTTCCTTATTTTTTGAAACCAAAACAGAATATTTCAAAGTAAATAAAGTAAATAATTTCAGCTGTGTGAGCTGCATGTAGGCCAAAGAAAACAAGACAGTTTGTTCTTAAAGTTAAACTAATGGGGAAAAAACAGGACAGGGAGGTATCTCAAGTTCATTTGAGCCATTTAAAAAATTTTGGTAGCTGGTTTCTGTTTTTCTTCTTTTTAAAACAGTAACAGCTTATGATTTGTGTGCCACCGGCTTCTATTCCATTTCATAAAAGATTAATCTAGCAAGAGCTGGGTTAGCTCTAGTACAAGTTAGAAGGAAATGGTCGTGTGTGTGTCTGTGTGTGTGTGTGTGTGTGTGTGTGTGTGTAGTTAAAAATCACCTTAGACACTTTTTAAAACAATGTCCTTACCCTAAGATTCTCCTCTGTCAGCTCTTAAAGAACAGAAAATAGAAAACATTTCTGACATTGAGAATTACTGGTCTGCAATAATATTTTGTTTAAAAATGTGCGAACAGATTTAATGTTTAAAACGTTTTGTGTCCAACAGTCTGTTTGAGGGAAAGAAATCCCCTGGTGACAGTTCACTGTATACTTAGAGTATTTGTCAGTGAAACATGTAGATCTTCACTTTCATTGTAGGAAGTCATTCCACTCGCTGAGAAGGGCCTTACTGCTCTTCATTTCCTATAGTAACTTGTTTTTGTTCTGTTTGTATGTTTTACAAAAGTGTCATGTTTTAAATGACTTTCACATTTAAGTCTCAAAACGCAAAAAGTGTTTCTTAGTTTTTTTTTTTCACAGTTGTTAATCATCATCATTGTGCCTCTTGTCAGGACAGTGACAGCTGACTATCAACTGTATAACAAAAAAATGTTCTTTGATTCCTCCAGGCTTGAGAACATTGGTTCGGAACTGGCAATAAACCTTATAAAACATGATATTTTTTTCTAGAAAAGGCCCTAGAAAAGGATGTCTGAGCCAATTATACTACTTTCAGAGAAGACTTCTATAACAGAGGAGAAATGAGAATAAGTTTTCAGCTACGATAACACATTTTGTATTCGTTACACTTCTGTGGCATTTCCAGAGTACTGGTGTCATTCATTGAACAGATGTATATCGATTCCCTATAATAGGTCAGGCTTTCTAGGCAGAGGAGCTATGCCAGCAAGCCAAACAGATCCCTGCCCAGGAGGTGCTTACATCTTAGTGGAGAAAGACAATGAACAATAAACATTAAAGAAGCAAATTATATAGTACATTAGAATACAACAAGTATTGGACCAGGCGAGGTGGCTCATGCCTGTAATTCCAGCACCATGGGAGGGTGAGTTGGGCAGATCACCTGAGGTCAGGAGTTCAAGACCCGAAAGAATTTAATAAGTGTCATGGAAAAATAAATATGGGATAAAAAGGGTAAAGGGAGAAGTATACGGGATGAGAATTGGTCAGTTGCAGTGTAACATAGCTTGAGAGAGATAATTTGGAGAAAATAATTTCTTTTTTTTTTTTTTGAGTCAGAGTCTCGCTCTGTTGTCAGGCTGGAGTGCAATGGCGCGATCTCGGCTCACCGCAACCTCCGCCCCCGGGGTTCAGGCAATTCTCCTGCCCCAGCCTCCTGAGTCGCTGGGATTACAGGCACGCGCCACCATGCCCAGCTAATTTTTTGTAGTTTTAGTAGAGATGGGGTTTCACCATGTTGACCAGGATGGTCTCGATCTCTTGACCTCGTGATCCACCCGCCTTGGCCTCCCAAAGTGCTGGGATTACAGGCGTGAGCCACCGCGCCCGGCGGAGAAAATAATTTCTGACGAAGGGAGGTCTAGAACAAAGATCCCAGGATGGGATCATTCTGGCAAGGTTTAATAGAATAGCAAGGAGGCTATGGTGACTGAAGATAGAACCAACGGAATTTTATCATACATTAGATCTAGGGTTTGAAAGAAATAACTCTAAAATTTTTCGCCTGAAAATCTGGAAGGATGGAGTTACTGTTAACTGAAGTGAGAAAGTTCTGGGGGAACCTGGTTTGTGGGGACTCCTGGCTGGCATTGAGGAGTTTAATTTTGAAACTGTTTAGTTTGAGACATCTATGAGACAGCCAACTTAAGATGTTGAGGTGACTGTTGGATATTTGAATTCAGAGTTTGGAAGAGAGGTCTGTAATATCACTTGGTATGTGTTAAAATCCTTAGGCCAGTGCATACCATTCCATTTATTTAATCAGATCGTTTAGATAATAGTTTTCTCTTTATCCTATATGTGGAGCCAATAACATTTGTTTTTCACCTTCGGAGTTAGAAAAGAGGAGCAAATTCAACCCCAGATAGGCAGAAAATAAGAAATTCATGAAATAGGAAACAGTGGAGAAATTTTAAAAGTGAAAAGTTGGCCTTTTGAAAAGGTTAATAAATTGATAGGCCCCGAGCAAGACGTACCAAGTGTATTAGTCTGTTCTCACACTGTTATAAAGAACCACCTGAGACTGGGTAATTTATGAAGAAAAGAGATTTAATTGACTCACAGTTCTGCAGGCTTAACAGGAAGCCTGACTGAGAGGCCTCAGTAAACTTACAAGGGGAAGCAAGCACCTTTTTCACATGGTGGCAGAAGAGAGAGTGAGAATGAGTGGGGAAGTGCCATACATATTTAAACCATCAGATCGCAGGAGAACTTCCTATCACAAGAACAGCAAGGGGGACGTCGGCCCCTGTGATCCAGTCACCTCTCACCAAACCCCTCCCCCAATTCAACATGAGATTTGAGTGGGGACACAAATCCAAACCATATCACCAAGGAAAAAAAAGTGAAAATATAAATTATCAACATCACAAATGAAAAGAGGAAATCAGTATAGACCCTACGTATATTAAAGGTAAAGTAGGTATGAACAACTTCATCAACAAATTCAGCAACTTGATGAAATTGACAGATTCCTTAAAAGACACAGTTTACCAAAACTGACACAAGAAGAAATAGAAAATCTTAAGGAATTTCATATGTACTATAGAGATTGAATTTGTAATTAAAATTTTTCTAACAAAAAATCTCTAGACCTATAATAATAAATTCTATCAACCATTTAATGAAGGAAGGAAAAAAATACCAATTTTACATAGATTCTCAGAAATTAGAGGAAGGCAATACTTCTTAAATCTTTTTATAAAGCCAGGTTAACTTCGATATCAAATCCCAACAGAAGCCAGGCATGGTGGCTCACACTTTGTAATCCCAGCATTTTGGGAGGCTCAGGGGTGGATCACCTGAGCCCACAAGTTTGAGACTAGCTTAGGCAACATGGGAAAAACCTGTCTCTACAGAAACATACAAAAAATTAGCTGGGTGTGGTGGTGCATGCCTGTAGACCTAGCTCCTCTGGAGGCTGAGGTGGGAGGATCACCTGAGTTCAGGGAGGCTGAGGCTGCAGTGAGCTGTGATTATGCCTCTACACTCTGAACCTTGGTGACAAGAGAGGGATCCTGTCTCAAATAGAATAAAATAAAATCCCAAGAAAGACATTACAAGCAAAGAAAATCATAGACTAATATTTTTCATAAACATAAATGTAAAATTCTTAGGAAAATTTTACTTAATTAGCAATATATTAAAAGGTTAGTGTACTATGACTGATAGTTTATTCTAGTAATATATAGCTAGTTTAACATTTGAAAAAAATTCAGTGTAATTCACCATGTTAACAGAATGAAGAAGGAAAATCATAGATCATCTTAGTAAGTGAAGAAAAGCATCTAACAAAATTCAGACTCAATTCATAATAAAAATTCTTAGCAAAGTAGGAATAAAAAAACCCTTGAATCTAAATTCCTAAAGGACACCTGTGAAAAACATATAGCTAGGACTATACTTAATTGTTAAACATTAAACCCTTTTCCCTAAGATTGTGACAAGGAAATCATGTATATTGTCAGCCCCTCTATTCAACCTTGTACTAGAAGTCCTAGCTAGTATAATTTAAAAAAGAAAAAAAAAAAGCATATAGATTGGATAGGAGAAAGTAAATTTGTTTGCATTTGTAGGTAACACGATTATGTACATTCTCAAAACCCCACGTTGTGTACAAAACAATATACTAGGACAAGTGAATTTAGCAAGTTACAAAAATATGAGGTCAATAGAAAAAAAAAAGCAATAATTAGCAATTATTTTTATACTAGCAGTGAACAATTAGAAAATGAAAAGCATACTGTTTATATTAGCATCAGAAATACCAAATTGGTAGAATGAGTCCATTGTAAGAAATTAAAGACCTTCATAAATGGAGATACATATTTATGGATCGAAACACTAAAAATTGTTTAAAGCTGCCCATTCTCCCCAAATTGGTCTTTATCTTAATGCAGTATAAGTTTCCTTTTGTTGTTGTTGACATTGAGGAAATAGACAAACGACTCTAAAATTTACATGGAAATGCAAAGGTTTTAGACTAGCCAAAACAATTTTGAAAAAAAGAAAAAGTTGGAAGGCTTATACTACCTGATTTCAGGACTCTGTATAAAGCCACAATAATCAAGACAGTGTGGTACTGGGTTAAGGATAGACAAGTAGATCTAGACAGAAGAGAGTCCAGAAATAGACCCATACATATGCAGTCCCTTGTTTTTTGACCAGGGTGCCAAGTCCAATGGGGAAAAGAAAGTTTTCAACAAATGATACTGAATAGCTGGATATTTCAAACCCATCTCACTGTTTACTGAAACATTAAGATGGATTACAGATCTAAATATAAAATCCAGAAGAATAAGGCTTTGAGAAGAAAACATAGGAGATTATCTTCACAACATTGGAATAGGTAAAGATTTCTTGGACTTGACACAAAAGATAGTAATCATCAAAGAAAAATCTTGATAAATTTGACTTCAAAAAAGTTAAAATTTCTACTCATTAAAGGACGATTAGAAACATAAATAGTCATGGCCAGGTTCAGTGGCTCACAATGGTCATCCCAGCACTTCAGGAGGCCTAGGAAGAAGGATTGCTTGATCCCAGGAGTTTGAGACCAGCGTCTCTAGCAAAAAATTTTAAAAAATTTAAAATGAGGTAGGAGGATTGCTTGAGCCCAGCAGGTCGAGGCTGCAGTAAACCATGGTTATCCCACCGTACTCCCACCTGGGTGACAGAGAAGATCCTGGCTAAATAAATAAATAGGCATGCCACAGACTAAACAATCTTTGCAGTAGATATATCTGACAGAGGACCGATACCCAGAATATATAAAGAACTTCCATATGTTTTAAAATTTTTCTTTTTATCCCCCCTTTTCCTAACCCTTGCTTAGATAAATACGTATGGAAGGTTTGTACAATTTCTGATCTTTGAAGGACCATTAATCAGGGCTTACAAATACTAGTATGAGTTAATACCTGAAATGTAAAAGGCTGCAAACATAGATGTGAAATATATTTTGAGGAATTGGTGGTATTAACTGCTCAAGTCTTAGGAAATGTCAAGTAACTCCATAGAGGAGTTTGTCCGCTCTAATTCATTTCTTTAACTCGCCTATTTTCCTGCATCCTCATTCAGGATAAATGTAAATAGTTCTCCAAATTTTTTATTTTGTGCCTATTTGTTAAATTGCTAATGTTGCAATAGTTGTGTCTTACTCTGTTTCTTCATTGTTCAATTACATTCTCTGTTTTAAACTAACTAACTGGCAGCCTGGAAATCTAACAACATTTACAACATTATGTCCATTAAAAAGGCCTGTTGGGTTTTAACAACATAATTATATATAGTTGTGGAATCTCAATCTAAGTTGTAATTTAGAAATGGTCTATACACACTTTTTTTCTTGGATTTCGATTTACACAGCTGAGACATCAGGTATTTTACAGTGGCTTACATTTATTTTTGAAATGAGAATGCATATATACTAAAAATTTAATAACTGGGTCCAGGGCACCAATCTGTTCATATGTGTTAGATTCTGAAATGACAGTTTCCTTTTTTATTTTGTTGTGCTGTTGTTCCTTAATAAATACATACTTTAATACATTTTAAAAATAAAATAATTCCAGGACATGGCCCAGTATTTTGGAAAATGTTAATAGCAGCCTGATAAAAAGTCAGTATATTATTTAATCTGAATGTGTTCTTCTTGCCACTATTTGGTGAATAGACCTATGTCACATATACGCAGAAATACGTAGTTGCTGACAAATGGTCAAAGTTACAGAAGGCTATTTTCCTTCAGTGCACTTAGCCAGCTAATTTGCTTCTTTCTTTTTTTTTTTTTTTTTTTTTGACAGTTTCAGCTCCTGGCATCAGCTCTATTCAAATCTGGTTCAGATTTTACAGCCCTAGGTAAGTATTGCAGAATACTTTATCCATCTAGATGCCCTAGCATTTGGAAGGTTGGATTTTGGTTTCTTTTACATGAAGCATCAGGTGGGACGTTTCAAAGAAATAGATGAGCAAATGAAGTTTCAAGGTATCATGCAAAATTTCTAATAACCTACAAAGTTACTTTTAGGTATCATTTATCAGTTCAGTTTGCAATGAGTCCTATACCAATTGCTGTGTTAGTATGCAAACAGATAGCAATAGAAAAACAATCAAAATAAGTTAATTTATATAGCACTGCTTTGGAATGCAGGCCATATTACTGATACATGCTATGAGATGATACTTGTTAATTAGTTTTTCCTCTCAGTTTGTTCTTTGTGGAATTGTGTGTTGTCAAGAGAATAGCGATTGGGTAGGCAGTATTTTGGGAGCACAGAAGATAGATTATCTTTTTCCTAAAAATCACAGAAGATAGATTATCTCTTTCCTTAAAGTGGGAGTTTTGTTATCTTAATTGTTCAATATAACTTCTAGTTGAAACTCAAGTTTTTCTCAAACACTTTAGAAATTGTGCATCAGTCTTCATTTAGTAGTACTCTCATTTAGTATTAATGAATTATTAACTAGACTGTAGGCCAGGCACAGTGTAGGCCAGTCACACCTATAACTATAGCACTTTGGGAGGCTGAGGCTGGAGGATCACTTAAGAGTTTGAGCCAACCGGGAGTTTGAGCCAAGCCTGGGTAACAGAGTGAGCCAGGTGTAGTGGTGTGTGCCCATAGTCCTAGCTACCCAGGAGGTTCAGGTGGGAGGATCACTTGAGCCCAGGAGGTTGAGGTTGCAATGAACCAAGATCATGCCACTGCACTCCAGCCTTGGTGACTAGAGAGAAATCCTGTCTTTAAAAAGAAAAAAGAAAAATCGTCCGGGCGCGGTCTCACGCCTATAATCCCAGTACTTTGGGAACCCAAAGCGAGCGGCCTTGAACCTGAAGTCAGGAGTTCAAGACCAGCCTGGCCAACATGGTGAAACTCCACCTCTACAAAAATACAAAAATTAGCCAGGCATGATGGTGGGTGCCTGTAATCCCAGCTACTTGAGAGGCTGGGGTGGAAGAATTGCTTGAACCCGGGAGGTGGAGGTTGCAGTGAGCTGAGATCGTGCCATTGTTCTCCAGCCTGGGAGACAGAGCGAGACTCTGTCTGAAAAAACAAAAACAAAAAGAAAACCAAGACTATAATAAACTGGCTATTCTGCAGAACTGAACACAGACCTTTACTTGGGTGAATTTTCAAGGGCATTTTTATTGGGATAACTTATTCGTAGCTTCATTTTTTACCAAGATAGTAGTCTTTTGAAGTATGGAGATTTCCACCTTTCCTCTGGTTAGTGAAAGTATATTAATCCCATTGATGTTGATGCTGTTATTATTTGCCTTAGAGTTGAGCTATAGTACTGAAATTTTCTGTTATATATAATATAAATACTCTTTTTTATATTTGGAATAAAATAACATTTTGGGATATCCATTTAGTTTCTTCATTATTTGACCTTTTATCTCTTAAAAGTGAACTGTACCTCAAAGTAAAAAAGAGTATATATAATTCTGGTGCTTTTCACTGGGATGAAAAAATAGAGGTGTTCTTACGTCTTGCCCTTTATTCATAGCTAGTGATGGAGGCTTCTCTACTGATCAAGGCAACTCCAATCCTAACTTCCAAACTCCCAAATATGTAGGATTCCTCAAGACTAGACTAGACTGCTATAAACGTGACTCCAGAAGGTTCTCCTAAGAATTTAGATAATGATTTACCACTGTTCCATACACTCGAATTTAAGTCCCTAGGCTACTAGAAATCCCAGCTCTGTGATGCTGGAGAACCTAGGTATAAGCATTATTTTGGAAAGTCCATGCCCTTCTGAATTCTAGCATTTGAAACAAATGTAGTGACACCTGAATTGGGTGTCTGGCACATAGTCAGTTTGAATGACTCTGTGCCTTTTTATTTATGATACCATACCCCAGGCGCATTCTTTTTATTTATGAGTGAGTAGCAGTAAACTCTCTCTAACTGACTTATTTTTAGCTTCTGGAACGAGAATTTCTTGGCACTAATTTAAATATGTTAATTAGGGTGGTGTCAGCAAATATTTTACCTTCAGCTTAACTCCTTTTGACTCTGTCCTATTCACTGCCAACTAATATATTTTGTCAGGATTAGTTTGTTTTGTTTGGATTCTAAACAAACCTCAGATATACTGAGAACAATACAAACACAAAAGAGAAAAATACAAGAAGAAAAAAAAATTCCTGTGGGATTTTGTTTTCTGTCTTGTCTGAAGGGAGGTGTATAGTAATTAGGAAGTTGGAATGTGGGGTGGTGGTTAAGAGTCAGAATCTATTTTAAAAGTGATCTTGAGCAAGTTACTTAAACTTTCTAGTTATCAGTTTCTTTATTAAGTGGAGGCAATGGGAGTACTTACTTGCCTCAGATTGCTGAGAGAATTAAATAATTCTGGAAAACACTTAACACAGTAAAGTAGCAAGTGCTCCATTCAGGATACCATTACTATTGACTGCCTTGAAAATGTAAGCTTTTAGCCAGGTAGAATGAGTCATGCTTGTAACCTCAACATTTTTGGAGGCTGAGGCGGGATGATCAGCTTGAGCCCAAGAGTTCAAAATTAACCTGGGTAACATGGCAGGATCTTGTCTCTATTTTTTTTTTAAAGTCACCTTTGTAATACTGGTGAATTTGGATAAGGAGCAAATTCTGATTGTTTGCTAATTTTAATAATGAGAAATTTGATTTTTATAAACAAGAAGTACTTTTCATAAGATTTCATGCCTGTTTAGAGTTCCTGGTTCTTGTTCTTATTCATTTTCTGTTAGACAATTTTATCTTTATGCCAATTAGAATAAAAATAAAATGAGTTATTTACTATACCTTTCATTGTATAAATGAGTATTTCATTTTCTAAGCCCTGCAAAAAAAAAAAAAAAAGCCTCAGCCAAACTTTCTGAATGACTCCCGCCAGAAATAATCCAACTTATGTTCATCTCTTAGTGAGAATTAAATAAAAGTATTAATATTGTATGTAATATTTTAAAGAATCAGAAAGATGGAAGGTGGCATTTTCTTGGTTTTGGAAAAATGAGTGACTTCAGAGAAAATCTCCAAAGATCTTGATTTTAGAGCTTCTGGTGGCTCTAGGCACTTTTAAGATTGAACTCAGTCATTTTGTTAAGTTTAAGAGCTATATCTTAGTTCTAGAAAGTATGAATTGAGCAATTAAACTTATTTTCAGCAAGGTATGTGACAAGTAGGAAAAACCTGGTATAAAAAGCATGTTTCCTATTGATTGAGACAGGGTCTTGCTCTGAAGTCCAGGCTAGTGTGCAGTGGTGCAGTTACAGCTCACTGCAGCATGTACTTCCTGGGCTTAGGCAATCCTCATGCCTCAGCTTCCAGAGTAGCTGGGACTACTCTGGCATGCATAACCACGCTGAACTAATTTTTTTTTCTCTTTTTTAAAATTTCTTGTAGAGATGAGACCTCACTGTATTGCCCAGGTTTGTCCTTTTTTGGTCCTCACAACTCTTTTTAGAAGTTTACAGTCCAAATAGGAAGTTTAGTGTTAGAAATAAGGAATATACATTTAAAAATGTGTAGGCTGGGAAAAAATTCTTGTGATTTCCCCCTTACCACAAATAGGAAAATCCAGCTACGTGTAGGATGTTAAGTTAAAAGTATATTCCTGCACGCATGGTGGCGTGAGTTAAGAAAATCACTTGTGCCCAGGAATTTGAGTCCAGCCTGGGCAACATAGCAAGACCCCATCTCTAAAAACAAAAAAATTATTCCTAACAGGTCACTTTTCTTTTAGAGCAGTCATTGCTTCAGTCATACTACTAGTGGTATAGTGATAGCTAATTAATATTATTGAGCATTTACTTTAGGACTAGGTGTTGTTCTAAGTACTTTGCATGTCTTAACTGGCGATTATCCCCACAGTAACCCTATCAAGTAGCGACTTTGTGATCTTTTTTTGTATGTGAAGAAACTAGGGTGCAGAGAGGCTAAGGTAACTTGCCCAGGCATAGGGCTAGTGAATGGCAAAACCAGGGCTAAAACCCTGTCAGTATGGCTTCAGAGCACCTTCTCTAAACCACTAACTGTGCTACCTCTCACTGAGCTTTACCAGTTTCCACTGTTCAAATGGTTACTTTCTCTTTCCATTTTATGGTGAAAATGAAGTAAGATAAACATAGTGATGAGGACCATGAGGTTTAGAATCAATATCACCTTTTTGCCCTAGCAGTGCCATTTAAGTAGTTTTGTTACTGTTGATGAGTTTCCTAGATCCACCCCCCACCTTTTTGATTTTAGGAAAAAAAAAATTGATTACATATAAAGCTTAAGATTCTCCCTAAACAACTTTCCTCAGTCTCTTTTACCCTTAGGTATAATCACTCATATGTGTTACATCTTTACACACACACACACACACACACACACACACACAGAGATGCAGTTGGTTCTCATTATTCAAAGTAGAGTACAGAGTTAGGTTCCTACAAGCCTCTGGTCTTATCTTCTGATCAATTTGTAACCACATGTTATGTGTGTTTTTGTTTAAAGATTACTCATTTAATATATATTGTTGATTCACTGACGTTAAGCTCATGGTCAACATCACCCTAACTCATACCCAACATCACCCTAACTCATACCTGAACCAAGCTTATCTAATGTGCCTATTTTCTGCATAAGGCCTTTTTGCACGTAAGAATGCTAGACAGCACTTTGGCACTATATTTGGGGGCCATTTTAAACAGTGAAGCCACCAAAAACACAAAAATGTGGCACCAAACAGATGGCGACTGTTGTGGATAGTAAGAGCTGAAACAAGAAAGCAGCAGAGATCACAAAGTTCACCCTCAGCTGGGGACTAGTGCATATGCTGACTCAAATATTTTGCCACTTTTCACATGTCTGCAGTGACCACAGAAATAACACAATTAGTATTGGTTTGGGTGTTACAAATGAGTTTTAGCAAACAGGCAAATACACAAATATGGAATCCGTAAATGATCAAGATCAACTCTATATATGCACACACCCCCCCATGTAAATATAGAGGTTTATATGTGCTGTTTTAATTTATTATATAATGTAAAAACATATTGTGCAGTGTAATTTTTAAAGTTAGTGATGTGGATTGTAGACATTTTTATGAAGCTACACTAGATCAGCTGTATTCTTATGGAGTGATACATAATAGGAATTTGCCATAATTTATTCATTCGTCTGATGATAGTGTAAATTTAAATTTCCTCATAGGTAAATAGTAAATTTAAAAAAAGATGTGCCTTTGAGAGTTAAATGAGCTTAGTACATTGCCCTACAAGTTAAGTACGTAATGACTATGAGTTAATAAAAATAAATAAAGGGCTTTGGAGTCAGACAGACATAGGTTCACATTCCATCTCTTCCCTCCCCAGCTGTGAGACTTTATTGAATTACTGAATCTTTCTGTGTAAAAGAGGTAGATGAATAACAAAAATAGTAATAACTTTAAGATTAGTGAATCTAAGTTGTCTCATCTGAAAGTGGAGATTATAATACTTCATTGTTTTTGTGACAAGGAAATGTACTCATACCTAAAGTACCCAGCACATAGGAACTCAGTGTTTTTTTCCCTCTTAAGTAATTTGATCTCCAGAAGATGGTATTACTTCATTACAGTAGCATTACAGAATCAATATCTTCTTTTAAAAATGTAACACAATTGTATTTTTACAAATTCAGAACATAAAAGAGAACTAAACCATTTTAGTACAGTGCTTAGACTATACTTTCAGTGAGATATATTCTAAAAACAATAAAAGCAAAGAAATCTTGAGGTTTTTCTTGGCAGCGGTACATAGGTAGCAAATCTAGAATTCGTATATATTTTAAGTTGAGCAAATGAGTAAATATTCTGATATTGCTGGGAGTCAGGGTTTTCTTGGTGGAAGAAAGGAGATATGGAGTGGGATATGAGGAGGAAGCATCCTCTGAGATTTTAAGAAATTAGAGTTAATAAAAGCATGAAATATAATCTAAAAAACGTGTGCATATAATAGGCTACATACATAGGCCTAGAAACAGTGACACCTTGGCAATTAGCACAGCTGTTCTTGGTTTTTAAATAACATTCACAGCTGAAAGGAATTAGGACTCCAGAGCTGTGTAAAGATGAATTTGGATGTATACCAGAAAGTAAGGAAGTACCCCAAAATTAATGGATACATTTCAAAAAGACACAGAAACCAGCTCAAAACGGCTCTCACTGGTCAAATCTGGGACTGTATAAGTATCAGAATGAATGGTGACAGTAATGAATATAACATACTGAACAAGAAAAGAATCCCTGAGTACGTAATAATGTGAACAAATAAGTAAAATGGGAGGACTGGAAGAAAAAGCTCTTCTTTACGATAGACTGTCAACAACTGTAGAAGGAATTGTAGAATTAGAAAATCACCATCATATAACTGATAATTGTTTTAGCAAGAATCATCAGTGATTGCTAAATTATTGGGTGCAGGGCTGTTGGAGAAGAGGATATAGTTTATTAATTAAAAAGGTAGAAAAACCTTTACCTTGGAGAAATTTGGCATATACCAACTTAACCAGACAATCGAAGTTAATATCATCAGTATTGGGATAAACTGATACCCCATGCCTTCTGAGATGATGCACTGAGGACACACAATATCACTTGTATAGTATTCTTGCCAAAACTGCATAAACTGAATCTGATGATCAAGAAACAGTCCGGAACCCAAATTCAACACATTCAACTCATAAATGTTCTGTAGTCTTCAAAAATATCAGTGTCATAAAAGACAGAGAGGCTGAGGAACTATTTCAGACTCAAGAGACTTGGAAAAATGCATTGTGTGATCTTAGATTGGATTTTAGATTAGTAGGAAACATGACTGTAAAAAAGTGACTGAAAAATGGTTCTATTGGGACATTGGTGTTAAATTTCATGAATTTAATATATATTAGTTATGTAAGTGAATGTTCTTGTTCTTAGCTGAAATTAGTTTGAGCATGTAGGGGGCAAAGGTGTCTACGACTTACTCCCAGATAGTTCCACAAAACGATTTTCAGTGGGGTGTCACACACACACACACACACACACACACACACACACACACACGAGAGAGAGAGAACATATTTTTGGTGAAACTAACAATTGATGAACCTAAGTGAAGGCAATATGGGGTATGCATTGCACAATTCTTGAAACCTTTCTGTGGGTTTGAAATTTTTCAAAATAAAAAGTTGAAAATGAAGCAATTTGGAAATTTTTTTTAAAGCATAAAATAGAGAAAGACTCTAATCTCACTGTCAGAGATAACCTTTGTTAATATTTTGGAGTATTTCTTTCCATTCATTTCCATGATAGCATAGTGGGCTTTGTTAAAATTAAGCTCATCTCAAGTAAACATTTACCCTCAAACTTAAAACAATATTTTTTTTTAAATAAAAAGGAATGTGCTGTTCTTGAGGTATTGTTTATGTTCCTTCCAGGAACTGGTATCCTTGGCAATGTTATGGTCTATTCCTGTTCTTTTACAAGATTAAAACAGATTGGACCTAAAATTGTATTCTAAGTTGAATGGAAATCAGTCTGATTTGAAGTCGCCTTCACTGAACACCATGGCATATGTAACTCTTTATGGCTTTGTTTCTATTTCTCATGGCACTCAGCAGGGCTCTCATGCCTCAGCCATTTCAGGAATAGGGGAAATCATTTATTTTATCACTTAAATATCTCCGTTGTATGTAAAAAATCTGAAGCAGCTGAGATAAATATACCAACTGATGAAGACAGCATCTCACTGAATGTTCCTTTAGCTGGAGTGAACTTGATAATTGAATGTTTTTTAGAGGTTACGGGGGGAAATCCTTTAGATTAACAGTCCCTACCTTTTAAAAATGCCATACATATGCTTTCTAATATTTACTGGGATAAAAGTAGTTCATTGCCCTATCCTCAGATAATGTGTGCCTAGTAAGAGGTATGGTGTTTATTATGTGCAGGTACCATTTTACATATTGTACATGTATCTTTTTCCCTCAGTCATCTCTGTTATCACTCAGTTCTCTGAGACTACTTCCAGCTGTCTCGAAGACATTAATGATTTTAGACTAATTTCTAAAGATCCCTTTCATTTTGGTTTTATTATATTTTTATTACCAAAAAAAAAAAAATTTAGTGGTTCAGAAGCATTAACAAGTAGAAAAGACAAGTGGAATTTCCTCAGTGGACTAGCAGAGGAACAACCTTGTAAGGAAGAGAAGAGAAATCAATATTATTTAGTAACTGAAGTGCCAGTCCTTCTGCTAGATGCTTTTCATGTAATTGCATTTAATCTGCACAATAACTGTATGAAGTAAATAGGATTATCACATATGTACAGCTGAGGAAACAAAGTCTGAAAGCCAGAAAGTCTGACAAATTTACCTAAGATCACACCACAGCCAAGTAGTAGAACTGGGGTCAGATCAGTAGTGTCTGTCTGGTTTTGAAGCCTGATTTGCTTTATCCATTATAAAGTACATTGCTGCTAGTCTCAACTAGTTTTTCTGTTACCTGTTTTAAACACAATGGATGTTTCTTTGTATCTTCTTCACCAGGCTTTTCTGATGTGGATCACACCTATGCTCAAAGAACTCAGCTCTTTGACACCTTAGTAAATTTCTTTCCTGACAGCATGACTCCTCCTAAAGGCAACCTGGTAGACCTCATTACACTGTAACTGAAGAGTCACTGGACACAGAAATGGAAAACAGGAGTCGATTTTCCATCTTTCGGATTGCAGCTCCATTGACTGACACTAAAGCTGCAGTGATTGAGGACTGCACCAGAGTTCTGAAGGGATCTTAACCATCACAGGTTTTTACCCTTTTCCTTCATACCTGACCTCAACCCCTCTCTTCATCCTATTCCTAAATTAGGCTAATAAAGTGAAATTGTTATACTTTCCAGTTAAATATATATATTTTTTCTTATGTTATCTTTTAAGAATTAATGAGTATAAAAGGAAAATTAGGCAGTTTACCCTTTTCAGAATTTTCTTTCTTTTTTTAATTGGGGGAAATAAGCACTATTAACAGATTCAGCACTACAAGTATTTTGAACGTTGTTGCTGTTGGTCATTTGGCCTGCCTTCTCATCCCTTCCCACTTCACTTCACTTCCCGTCACACAACTTCGTATAAGTGGTGTCACTTGTTTACCTCTTTACTTTATTCTTAACAAGTGTATAGTTCTCTAGGACAGTTGATGTATGTTAAGGTGATATCTGTGTCTGTGCTGACTTGTATTGTGTTACGTTAAACAGTAGGCAGAACTGTTGAGGGCTCAAATTTGCACTCTTGGCCATAGTACTAAAAATGAAACCTGAGATTGACCCAAGCACCTATCTGAGATTGGTATATAATATTTCTATAATGATATATTATTTTATAGTAGATATTACAATAGCATCTGACTTTGAGTCACAGAAACCTTAAACTGAGGAGACTATAGTTCAGAACCTTTAAGAGCCATTCTAAAAATGATGAGCAGGAGGGATCTAGTAGTGAATAATATGTTCATTGATATCTTCATAGCAATTTTAAGAGAAAATTACTCTTTCGTCCAGAAGATCTCTGCAGAACCAGGGCTCCCATTTCCCTTTGTGCTATCTCTTTGTAGTGTTTTCATTTGAGAGAGGAGGCTGAGCTTCCAGAGCTCTGCTTTTATTTATTTTTATACACATTGTCTCTCTGTGTCTGCTTGTGGATAATTGATATTTTTAAGAGAAATTATTTGTGGTTGTTCAGTGGCATACAACTGACAGGCATTTCACTAAGCATATAGACCAGACTTTGTGAATAGTTCAAATATTTTTTAATTATAAAGAACGGTATGGCAGATGGACTTTTCCCTGAGTCAGTTTTTCTGTGAGAGATAGAGGTACGTATCTTCTGATGAGGTGCTGTGGAATGCAGTGTGGGGAGCCACCTACATCTGGCTAGTGCTTACATTTGCTCAAAAAGCATGTTGTATGAAGCTGATCCCCGCCATACTAACGCAGACTTGTAATAAGTGTCAGTTGATCCAGTGGCTCATAAGAGTGAACAGCTTTATGGAATCAAGTATGTCCCTGAGTAGCAAGATTAGGCTTCACCAAAGAAAGAAGAAATTAACCTGCACTTTCAGAAAATGTCATGTATGTATAGGAATGAAACATTGAGATCCCACTTTATTCTGTCTTTAGTACATGGTTTGGCTTCTTTTGGGGATGAATAGAAATATATTTTTGCTAGTTCTAGGCTTGAGTCATGAGTTCCGTGGCTTTCTTAGTATTCCAAAGCAGTCAACAGTGATTTCTTAAGCAATTTGATCTGTACCTTTACTTGTAAAAGGTATGCTACGTAATTCAGCACCTACCAACTTGTGTAGCTGCTGAATAACCAAGTGACTGTCCAGTCAAGTAAATACAGTTTACTTACATACTTGTACAGTTTCATAAAACAATTCCCCTGAGTGACGTAAGAACATAAAATATTAATATCACTAACATAGCCTGTTGAATCTTTTGTGGAGACAGGTGCAAGTCAGAATATTGACAAGAAAGAACTTGAATTTGCTAAGACTTCCTAAATTTGAAAGCTCTAGTTTTGCTTAGTGTGATTAAGCAAGTGAAAGTCTGTTGCCCTCCACCATTTATTTTTACAGTGCTTCTTTGTAATTTTTTTCATCAGTTCCTCAAGTGTTGTTTGGAGGAAACGAAGTTCTTGACCTCAATAATTTTATTTTTGTTTTTCCCTAATTGCTTCCCTACTAGTTTTTTGGAAAACATGTTTGTTTTAATTTCATCTTTCCTTGCTTTATTTAGGTTCAATTTCCCCCTCTTCATTTCTGGAATTTTTTGCGCACCACCATGCTTAAATGGGGTTAAATCATGGCAAGCCATTTTCTCTTGCCAAAGTGAGATAGATATACTGAAGAGGTAATTGAAAGTCAGACTCTTTACTGTGGGGCTTTAATGGGAACACTGCTGGAAGTGATTGCGAAGAATGTAGTGCTTCATATATCCAAGACCGAGATTGGCATGTTGCTCACAACATGTCACAGTTTAGTAAGGAGCTACCTGTATTTCCAAGAATTCCAGCATATCTTATAATTTAAATAATCGAATTTGGTATTTAGGTACACTGTTTATATAGCCAAGTGTGTATGCTTTACTAGCTAACAATTATTTCATTCTAGCTTAGGCAAATCCCTAATTGAAACACCTAGCTAATGCTTTAGACACATGAATTAAGTGGGATACAATTTGTTCATTTGTATTATCTCCAGCTTCAACCTCATTCTTCCTTTTTCCTAGTATAATACATTCTTTTCAACCAGAAATTAAACTAGATATCTAACATTATTTTCAGTGCTTGTACTTCATGAGAAATGATCTGATTTTCAAGACACTTAAGTGCATTTGCATCTTATTTTGGTAATAGCAGAGACCTCATGTGGCCAGTTTGATTGATTCAAGCAAAGGAATTCAAACTTGAATGCCTACCTCTGTGCTAAAGCTGACAGACAGTATTAACTTTTATCAAGGCCATGTTTTAGACTTGGTTTTCATTTATACAAAAGCTGACCTGTCCATGTCTAATAAGCAAAAACTGATAGAAGACATTATAAAATCACTGGTTTATCATAGAAAGGTTTGTTGGGTTTAGAGCTCAGTGATTTAAGCTTGTAAAACTGCATTCTCGGGCAAAATATGTATATTGTATATAAATGGTTGGGAGCTTACCATTACAGTTGATCTCTTCACATCTGCCTTAAAAATGCTATGTAGGCTGGGCTTAGTAGCTCACACCTCTAATCCCAGCACTTTGGGAGGTGGAAGCGGACAGATCATCTGAGGTCAGGAGTTTGAGACCAGCCTGACCAACATGGAGAAATCCCATCTCTGCTAAAAAAAAAAAATGCTATGTAGAGATACATTAACAGCGTTAAAATAAAACATTTAATAAAACAGTGTTTTAAAATCTAACCTATAAACAAAAACTAGTTTGAGGCACCCAAGCATTTAATGAGAGATTGAGAATGATGCTTAATGGATCAAAAAAGCACTTAGGAGTATGTTCCTGATTTTATTCTCTAAATTATACTTAATTTCATGGTAATTACATGAAGAAGTTACCTATAATTATTCTTAACACAACATGGAATTCCCTGGGTAATTGTCAGTCATTTATTTCCTGAAAGTTATGTGAAATCCTTAGCTGGTTGAACGTTGCACAGTACTTGAGAATTACAGTTTAAAGTGATTTCTGTGGGAAGGAACCATTACAATGTATACTCTAAATAAAGTCATCTAACTGTTAAAGAAAAGAAAAAAAGATACTCTTCCAAATCCTTCTTCTAAAAATCCACATTCATCCACAATCTCATCCCTTTGCAGAAATTATTGCCTAAATTCTCACCAAGTTTTGAATTCCTAAAATAGACCCGGAACTGGGATTTGAAGGCTCCCCCAGAAAAAGTTTATGGCCGGAGGAGTATCATAGAGGGTCTGCATATGACAGTACTTACAGATTAGATTTTTGGATGCTTTAACACAAAAATTTTTGTTATCCTTATTGGCAAAAAACACTATTATTTTGTGGTTCTGGACTCTGGCTTCTATCTCCCTGTGATTTAATGCTGAAATGACTTGGCTATCCAGAATGTCTAGTCTAGAGGTCTGTTGGTTGAAGGTAGAAGTTTCCAAGGTTGTCGAAATAATATGAAGCTGACTAGCTCACATGAATGATGTTGCCCTCATTTGTTTTGGGTGAGGACTCATTGCTGCAGTATATTGATTTCTTCACCAAATGATTTTTCTTTTTCTCAATAAAAGCTGTCTTAGAGGTTCTACTTATACATGATTTTTAAAACATTGATTTCCTTCTATCCACCAACTACTGTGAATTGTTTTTTCATTTATTTTTCTTAGCAAATGTAACTTTATTCTTGACTTTGTTTAGCCCTAGATTTTCTGTGGCATTCTGTAGGAGCATTGTATTGCTTGGAGGAAAAAAAAAAAAAAGATCAAAATCATTCTGAGGCAAAATGCTCTGTTATCCTTATTTATGACAAGAGAATAATGAAATTTAAAATTGTATATGAAGGAATTAATAACATTCAGATATTGCTGTAAAATACTTGTCATTTTTATTTGGGGATAGTACTAATGAGTGTGGCAACTATAATGGAGAAATGTGTTGGCCTCTTTTCATGGCATTAGAAACTCTTGTCATAGAACTCTTGGTAAAGTACAAGTTTCATAGCAGAGCTCCTGAATTCAGTATATCATCAGGATTTCCATTTACCTTTTGTCTTTTTTTTATTGTATTTTTTAGCCTTTTTGTTTCTGTTCCTACCTTCCATGAGTAGCATTGATTTTTCAGCTGAAGTTGGAATTTGTGTTAAGAATTGACTTTAAATTTCTGATATAGTTGAATATTAGAAATGGCTTCAATTGCCATGAAATGATTGCTTTTCTTTTTTCTTTCTTAAATAAAAATAATACAGCCTTATAAATGTCTCTTTCCCTCAAGAATGTGAATTTAGGCTGGGCATAGTGACTCATGCCTGTAATCCCAGACCTTTGGGAAGCTGACACAGGAGGATTTCTTGAGCCCAGGAATTTGAGATCAGCCGGGGAGCACAGCAAGACCTCATCTTTACTTTAAAAAAAAAAATTTTTTTTAGACAGGTGTGGTGGTACATGCAAGTAGTCCCAGCTACTTGGGAGGCTGAGGTGGGAGGATCGCTTGAACCCAGGAGTTTGAGGCTGCAGTGAGCTATGATTGCAATGCTGCATCTAGACTGGGCAACAGAACAGAGCAAGACCCTGTCTCAAAAAAAAAAAAAAAAGTGAATTTAGCTCCAATTCCAAATGATTAACTCTTATGCCAGTCATAGCCAGTGAAACCATCCGATGGTAGCTTCGGTGGCCCTTAACCTAAGGAGTCATTAGAGGTTAGAGTAAATTAGATTATCTAATAGTGCAGAGAGAAATGCCATTATGGGAAATGATCACTGTCTGCCTTTTTCAATAAAGTTTTAGATTGTGAACTGGATCCTGCTTCACAGCTAAAAGACACAAAATGAAAGGGTAGTTCTAGTTTATCTTCTTAATTGGAGTAAGAGTTGCAATATGCTGTCTGTCCCTAAACACTGCTGAGCTTGCTGGAAAACAGAAAAGCTGAACGTGGTTGTTACCTGAAAGCTGTAGAGTCAACAACAAAAAAGGGGAAATGTTTTTGGTAGGGAATTGGACCAGTTCTAAGATATCACTTATAATTATAAAAATAACGTCTTCCTTTTTATCTACTTTTCAAACAGTCTCAGTGAACTATTCAACATTTGTGTGCAGTGTCCTGTTTTGCTTATCTAAGGCATTTTGACTTGGAATTATTAAACTTCAGGAACGAGCTAGAGAAGAGAATGAGGGTATGTTAGAGAAGGAAAAATAGGAGCTTTTTGCTCATGGACTTTAGAGGTTCACAAATTGAAAGGAAAAAGAAAATCCTTCATTTCTAACCCTAAAATAATTTTGTTAATGAGGTGCTGGAAAGAAGACTATCAAAAGGGCTCAAAGCTCATGCTTCTAGAGTAATCAGTAATTCTGAATAGTCTTTGGGAAATAGCCAAAGACTATTACCTTTCTTCCCTTCTCCCAAATAACTGTTTGAGAACTTAAAACAGAAAATCCAGTGTTAATGGGCTCTAGATCTTAAGCTACGTGAGCAGTTTCTTACATACGGCCAGTTTTCTTGATAAGGATCCAGGAGGAAAACCAGCAATAAAACATTTCAACATGCAATTTAGGGGTTCCCTTGCTTATTCACTGAGTTTAAGCTCTTGCTGCAACATGGCTCTGTACCATCTGGGATACTAGCAATCACAGCAGTTAGCTCAGATATCTGAGCTGTCTGCCACACACATACCAGCCTGAGGAGATCATCATTCTTCAGTTTCATTCATTACTTAATGAATGCCAAATTAATTGGCAGGAAGAAGAAACACTCTGTGTGCTATACTAAACAAGCCTGTGTGCATGATTAAGGAGTCACTCAAAAAGCTAATTTTGAGCTTTATTTCTCCTTTGTTAACAAATCTCAAGAAAGCCTTTGTTACAGTTTAGCTCATGTCATTTGGTTGGTTTTATTTTCTAGCCCTTTAACATAGGAGAAAATTGTCATTTCATGTATAACTTGTAACACATACAGAATTGAACTGATTAGTTCTCTTGCCTTAAATTAACTATATATCATCCCAAGGATCTCTGTTAATTCTGCTTTGTCAAGAAATAATCAGATCTGGGTTTGGCATTAGAAATATTTCATACTTTTGGTTTTTTCTTTAGGCCTCTTCCACATCTATAAAGTGATTGATTAAGTTAGAGGAGGTATATAGAATAAGTTCCAATCCCATTGCAGCTGGCAGAGCAACAAATGAGAGAATCTTTCACCATGAGAGCCATGCCATCGGGTGTTTTCTTGAGTAACCAAGTTATAAGATAAATAATACCAAGTAGTTATCAACTCACTCCCAAATTTAATAATAAGATAACAAAGTCCGAAAGGTTACTTACGAGTTGTCTTCCATGGGGGAAGATAAATTTATTAAAATGTCATGTACTGATCTTCTTGGGATTTTTTGTTTTCCTTTCCCAGAAAAAGGATTTTGGTGACTAATCAATTGTAAACACTTTGCTTCCTTACTTACAAACCATCCATTTAGAAAAATCAAAGTGGACTTCCTTTCCTAAGCATTACAATTAGTCTGGGCAAGAGATGTTATGATTGTCATTCTTTAAGCCAGCTTATATTTTGGATTTGTGTGAAATGTCTTTTGAAATTAGATAATATAGTATTAATTATCTATTGTGTATAGTCTTCTGCATAATTTAGAGTTGCAAAATAATGCAACTTTTCTGTAAACAATTCTTTATCCATACATATTTTATAAATATACATATACATACACATACATTTTTAAAAATTTTCCTTTTAAAGAGATTTCTTGCCTTGCTCCCACTCCAAAAGCTATGTACAGTTCAGTCATTAGCCTCAGAGGAAGAATACAGGAAAGCAAAGATGAAGCCCTCCTTTTCTTGTGTTGGTCTTGGGAACAAACAGTACTCCATCTTTCAAAAACGGTGTATTTGTAAACAGTTTGGGAAAGATGTTAGAATTTTTTTAAAGTCAGCTCTTTTATAAATTGGAAATACTCAGTAGTCAGAAATAAGATCCCTTCTGATAGAGATAGATCCTCAAAACCCAAGTTGGACTGAAAATTAGATTGAGAAAGATACAACTTCATCCGTAGCCAATAAAATCTGTCTTTCCAAGTCTGCTTATTAATGCTGTGTGACTCTCTGCTTCTCCTTTTGAAAACATCTCCTGGACTGGAAATGTGGTGTGGTAGCAACCAGCTTAGCTGAAAATTGGAGAATGTTAAGTAGCTTTTATGGGACTTATGATAAAATGTATTGATGTTAGTGATTATCAAAATAGGTTTATCGTTATAAACTAGGAAATTACTAACTTATACTTAACATAGAAGAAAAACCAGTATTAAGTGATAAGACTTCTTCATTTTATTTGCTCTGCCTTATTTCCATTACCAAACATAGTAAAGGCCAGAAAAGATTTAAAAACAACAACAACAACAACAACAACACACACACACACACAACCATTCCTTTTTTTTTAAACCACATGGAGAAAGGACCAGGCCAGAAGCATATGTTCCCACCCTTACTTATATTCCTTTGAGCATTGCCCTTTTCTAGACAGACAATCTGAAAACAATTGTGTTGATAGGTCTCTTTAAGCCTGAACTCTGGGTGTAAGAGGTTATCCAGAAGCTTTAGGGAGCTGCCTTGCTTAGGTCATTGGAAGTTTCGTCCCTAAGACTCATCTGAATTCCTAAGTCCTTTATGTACCATTATGGGCATATGGAGCATATTCATATTATGAGGAGGAGTCTTTATGATGAACTTTTTAATATGGCCATAATTAAACTCACATTCAAAAAGGATGAGCTACTTGTCAGAAGCCAAAAGAAAAACAGACACAATGAACATGAAGCAAGGAGTCCATAAAACAAGAGTTCTTTACCATGTTTAAGTAAATGTCTCTCAAAAAATTGTATTTCTCTACACATTAGCTGAGATTCACACATGTTGCACCTCAGTATTTCAGATGAGACTCAATGTGTGGAGGAGAAAACTGCAAACTTGTTGCGTTCTGGTCTTTCACACCGTCTTCTGTGGCAATGTGAGGTCAGGATTGTTTCCTAAAGTATCTACATCGTCTTAAATGGAAATCATGGGACTCTAGAAAGCTGGCATGAGCTGGTTGGAGCTTTTAAACAGAAGTGCTTTATGGGTATCAGATCTCTTCTGACATCAATTGTTTCAAATCATTGTTGGGCTCTGTCATGTTCTGCAGTCTTCCCCATACCCCTCATGATCCTCTCTGGTTTATCTTTTATCCAATCTTTATGGATTTCTTAGTATTTTTTTAGTATAAATAATTTTCGGATCCCAGCTTTGGTAAATGTGTTAACTCTACTTTGTGAATAAATAAATGAGTGATCTGCTGAACGATTGCAATTGTAGAATTATGTTGTATGTAATGTACATATGGAGAAAGAATGTATTTTCATTTTCTTAATAAAAAGTTATATATGGATGCTACAAGATGTCTCTTATATTTGCTCAAACTGCTTTTGAAGTGAAACTTTAAAATGTTTACATACTTGGCAGTTGTGTTTTTTTCCCTCAGAAAGATGAGTTTTATTTAGGCTTCCGAAAATGGAAAGTGATACACTTTAGAAGGGCCGTCGGGTGTTTTCCTTTGAGACAATGTTCACATAAAGAAGTACTGGCCATGCTCACCAAGTTTCTATGGGGAGGCTTCCACTTTTAAAGACCACTGGTAAATTATTTCGTGAAATGATGTTTTTCTACCTACTTTTAATGACCAGCCTTATTTTATTTGCTTTGTCCATTTGGGCTTGTGTTCCTCTTTAAAGGGGATGTGCTTGTACAGGCTAGAAACTAGAAGACTGGACTGAAATGGAAAATTCATTAAGAAGAGATAGCAAAGCCAGAGAACTTAGAAGTGTTGTGAAGTTAGAGAAATTCTGGATCCCTGTCCCCAGTGAAGGGAGAAGACACTTTATGAGCCAAACCTTGAAAAAAATAAGCTGAGAAATATGCCAGATAAAGATACTGGATCGCTGGGGCCGATGGTGGGACTCTCGGTAACGAAATCCTCTCCGCCCTTTCCACCTCCTGGTCTGCTTTATGTCTTCTTGGCTTTGTGGTCCTGCATTCTGGAGTGAATTGTCAGCTGATTTGATTCAAAATTGGGATCATGTTTTCTCAGCTTATAAATGGAATAATCCAAACCTTACTGCAGAGCTTTCATTTCTAGGGTATCCTTTTCGTGTGGCTCTTAAGTAACGTTTCTTTGTGTTCTCAAAACAGGAAAGCATGAGGTGCAGTGGTAAGGTAAGGAATTGGCCTTTCCTTGGTCAGTCCTCCAGAGAATTAACTCAAAGGGATCAAAATCCAGGATACCACCCTTGATGTATTTGTCAGTACCTTCTGGTGGGACGACAGCAGTAAGTAAAGAAGCCTTGGCCCTAAACACAGATGAGAGCCGGGCTGTGTCCAGGCCAAGTGTGTGTGGAGACTGTACTACAGACTGGAAGATGCTGCGTTAGGGGCTTTTCTACTGTGTAAGGAAGATAACTGAGCATCTAATGGGGAAATAGCTGTGTGTGTCCATGTTCCCATAACTTCTCATATAAGTGACTGCAGAGTTCATAGAAATTGGGAGGAAATATAAATCAAGGCAACAGTCATTGAGATTCAGAATCATTGAGATTCTGAAGGTAGTAATATGATTGGAAAGACCATCTGAGGTTTGTGCAGTCCTGGCTAAGTTTAAATCCTAGTTGATGACGATTCTTCTTTACTTTAGCACCATGTTGTCCGTTGCCTTTTACATGTCTTGGAAAGAGAAAAGGAAGAGGGGACTGCAGACTTGGGGCTTTCTGGGGCATAGGGCAGTTGGGACAGCAGAGGACAGCTTCATTACTGATTTATAGGGGCCTTTTTTCCTGTGGGCTTTCACCCAGGAAAAGCAGCAGCAGTCAGCTATATCCTTGCCAGAGACATTCTTATTACAGGGAAGGAGATAGAAACTATGTAGAAGTAGCCTGCCTAGCACTGTGTTCCTAAGTTTTGATGGTTGGCAAACCCCAAGAGGATGTTAGGACCCTTGGCGATGTACGTAGCACACATTGTACAGCTGCTCTCTAAACTTGGGGCATAGAATGGAGAGCCCCAGAGGAATCAGGAGTCCTGGCTTTTATTTCCTGATTACGAGTGACTTCTGCATAGCATTGTGCACAGTCATAACTTCTCTGTCTCATTTCTTCTGTTAAGTAAATATTGGCAGCAGATCTTGTTTCCTAGGGTCCTATTATTTTTTAGAGACAGGGTCTCACTGTCATGCAGGCTGGAATGCAGTGGTGCAATCATAGCTTCCTGCAGCCTCCAACTCCTGGGCTCAAGTGATCCTGCCTCAGCATCCTGAGTACCTAGGACTGCAGGTATGTACCAGCACAACTGGCTAATTTTAAAAAAAAAAAGAAGAAAATTGTAAAGATGGGATCTGGCTATGTTACCCAGGCCGGTCTCAAATTCCTGAGCTCCAGCTGTCCTCGCACTTCGACCTCCTAGAGTGCTGGAATTAAAGGCATGAGCCCCCATACCCTGCCAAGGTTTTTGAAAGCACTAGCTATCTCAGTGTTCATCATTAGTGTTAATTATGTAGCCAGTCCTATTCTTTATTTACTTTTTTACCTTGTGATACACAAGAAATCTGATTTGGGAGGGAGCTTATAAGGGAGGTTGAGAGTGACAATCAGCGTAACACATTGAAATTGACAACTGAGTGTGTGTCTTGGTTGGCAGGCAAGGAGCAGGGTCAGTGACGTAGGTCTAATTTGTGGCCTATGATAAGCTATTTGTAAATAGTAAGATGCTAGGCAGACAGACAAGATTGTTGTCTAGAAACTAAGATTATGGACCAGTTCTACCTGACAGTTTCCCTTCTACAAGTTGGGAATGATGACATTTTCCTCTTGCAGCGAGGAAGCATACAGCTGTCGATAGTACCACATAGGAGATGAAGAAAGAATCATCTCCAGTGATTCTGTCCCTAAACCTCTATCTTCATTGCAGACTTGGGGGAGGGATAGGCAGAAGCCTCTTGTGGCAGTAAACAGATCCTTTTATGGGCAGAAACAGGGCCAGAACAGAGCTGCTTTGTTTTCATATTTTTGTTTTGTCTCTTTGCCAGTGTTTTCATACCTGATCAGTGTTCAGCAGCCCCCTTGGGGATTTGTGGTAGTGGTGATCCACAGTGTATCTGAGGCAGAAGTAGAGGGAAGGAAGACAGTAAAACATTTATAAAACAACATCTTAGGAGAAAGTGAGGTCCTTTACAGTCACTAGGACAGCTTGGATAACATAAAAAGACTTAACACCACCTTTAGGACCCCCCCACCTTTTTTTTCTTTCAGCTTCCCTCCTCTCTCCTAATTTCTGTGCCTGCAGCTTTGGACAAGTGGAAGTCAGCAGAGCCTCCTGTGCCCAAGGGTGTGACCTGACATCCTCAGGTGCTTTGGCGATGAGCCTCTTACTCAAGTGAAGATGTTAACGCAGGGCAAAATACCAGAGCTCGAACCAGTTTACACAAAAACACTTTAATTGACAGTATACGATTTTCCAAAATATATTTTTGTAAGAAAATGCAATAATTAACTATAGTTTTTACAAGTTTCTCAGTAAATTCCAGTGTACTTCAGACCCTGTCCACTAAGACGCATGTGATCCCCCAGTTCCTGGGCAAACTGTTTAACATTCATTGCGAACAAAAAGACCCACACAGATAGTCATCTGCTCCCCGCCTTCATGCTGTGTTTGCAGCAGACCTGAGGGATCAGCTAGTGACAATGACAAAAGCTATGCTACTGTTTTACTCTTGCCCTCTCTGCCTCCCCCATCTTGTTTCCTTGGTCCCTCCATCCTGTTGGAATAAGTTACATGCATAAAAGCTCATCTAAAACTTATTTCTTGGCAGAAAGAATTGTTCCCTTACATCTTAAACCTAAAAGATTCAGAGAAAATATAGAAGACCAGGTTCCTGTTTTTGTGTTTGTGCCCTCCCTAGCCTTGCTAGGGTAAGAATCGGGAAAGAAATTCTGTCCTTTGTGTCATTTTGGTGCTTTTGAGTAGCAATTCTTAATTTACTGATTATTCCTTCTGAGGCACACAACAGTGGTCTGTAGATCCAGGTTTTAATCTTGTTTCTGTCCCAAACCATGGACTTCGAGCAAGTCACTTTATCTTTGTGGGCTTCACAGTCTCTTATCTGTAGAAAAAGACTGGACTAGAACTTGAAATCCCTCTCTCATGACTAGAAAGTTGCCTGCCAACCAGAGCATATTGACGCCAACCTTTACTATAATGGGGCTGCGACTTTGCTGGGGAGGGAGCAAGGTCACATTTTGAAATTAAAAAAAACACTTCCAGATAACTTATTATTCACAAAAGCACAAAAATAAAAAAAAAAAAAAAAAAAAAAAAAAAAAAAACACCTGATCTACAAGACAAGTACTTTGTCATAAGCTCATCTTGTTAATATTTCATTTTTTGTTAAAAAATAAAAAACTTGTCATTTCTAGTAAGACATTTACATTCCTGTTCAGAGAAAAAATTTGGCCATCACGCAGCTAACATGTTTTTTCAAAGTAGGTTCACTTAAAGCAATGCAGGGTGGATTAACATGTGGCCATGGTATTTACATTATCCAAAAAACAGGTCTGTATGTATCAGTTTGAACTTGTTCTTCAGAGTTTCTCCAGTATTTTGTCAAAAAAGATAGATAAAGCTTAAGAAGTTTAAATAAACTTTGTTAGCTTTCCTTATCAAGAGGGACAAAAACCTGGTGTCTAGACTAGATTAAACCCGTATTTTCTTAGGATGCAAAGAATTTTCTGCATCTCCTTCATCAGCATTGCTGCTTCTCTCCCCACTCACGTGACAGTAGGCTTTCAGTCATATTCATGGTTTCTGGCCTTCTCTGCAGCTTGGGGAAACCATAGTTTGCCACTAAACTCTCTTTGGTACAACCTGCTTAAAAGTCATGCTGAGCTTCTAGTGTTCCTCTTACCTCTTCCAGGACCCAGAATCTGAATTATCAGAGAGCATTTAGAACCCAGTAAAGGTGGTGGAAGATGGTGACCTTTAGATGCATGGCTGTTTGGCCTGTTGACTTAGGTGTCCTGGTGGCAAGAGCAAGGCAAGGTGTCAGCTTCTGAAGCTGCCCTAAGACTAGACTAACACAGTTTGGACAAATAATATAAAGAAGAAACCTCTGAATCAGCCTAAAGCTTCTGCGGGTTCTCCCTGGACAGAGTGATGGAGAGTCAGGAGCTGTGACTGACCTGACCAGGCACAACTGCTCTCTAGTCCTTGCCAGTCATCAGCTGTCTCTAAGAGGCCTTAGGGTTGCAGCCTTCGATCAATTTGCAGAGGCCTATTTGCTGTCTCTATCGAAAGCCCTGGCTGGTGAACTGTGACCCCGTGTCAGCAAAGGAGGAATAGTCTAGTCTGGCCTCTCCCATGGGGACCATGACAGAAACCTACTGGGTAGAAAGAACCTATTGCTTGGCAAGAAGGAAGCAAACACCTCATCAAGCCTTACAAGATTTCCTGTTTTCCCCCAAACGGGCACTGTTCTCCATCCTGCCTACTGCCAAACACTAGAGAATCAGGGCAGATGTTTTGGGACCTTGTTAGCCTCACATCCCCCTAATTCCTGGGAAACTCGCTGGGGCCCTACGTGAACCCTTGGCCTTCCTTTCCCTAGGATATCAGATGGCTACAGGCTATGAGGAAGGAATTAGGCTTCCCCAGCCCCTCCCCTTTCAAAAAATAAGCCATCCCCAAGCAGATAACCTATTTCGCAGAACTACTGCAGCCTGGGCCTGACTCTTAAGACCCTGAAAAAATGGCAGTTTTCATTCCCCTAAGTAGTTCTGCCCATTTTCCTACTTGGTCCCAGGGAATTTACGCCCAGCACAATGGAGACCATGGTGAAAGTTCAAAATTCCATACAGGATTCCCCCTTCCCAATCAGATGAAACCTCGCCATGCCCACTGCTTAGGAGCCTTCTGCATGGCAACTAACTGTTGAGCCTATAAAAATCCTATATTAGGGAAAAGACATGGCTTTGTGCTTCCCCACGATGTCACCAGAAACTGCAAGAGAACTGCAGCAGCCCCACTAGGACCACAGAGAAGAGGAAACAGCAAGGCATAGCTCCAAGCCAGGACACTGAGAGTTCCCAGAACAGTCTGTCCCCCAGGCTGCTCTTCATGCACCTAACGTCCAGGCCCCTTGTTCCCTGTGGCACAGGAGAACCAGAATGAGCGAGATGAACTAACTAGACGTCCGCAACTATCTAAGCTTTGGCCTTTGGCAGTGGAGGGCTGGGTTAGAAAACAAACTCAGCAACTTGAAATGTCCCTGAGTTTCCTATGAAATAAAGAGGAAAGCCTGTCCTTCCTGGTTGCTTTAATGGATTGTCTCTGAAGACACATCGCTGATGGGGCGGGGGCCCCCAGGAAGGCCTCTCCCACAGCCACTGCTCTTTTACACTGGGTGTCAGGGAATCACTCCCATCAGCTGAGCAGTGAACAACAAAAGGAACACTGCTTTCAGTAGCTATGGCAGATTTTAGTCCCTGGTGAAAATGGAAGGTCAAAGAAGATTGTGGGGAGCCTCTGCAAGGAGGGCCGGGGCAATGGGCCAGTGTTCCTGCTGACCCCCTAATCAGCTGCCCTGAGACACCAGCCTGAAAAGCGTCTCCTTCTAGAGGAGGACCTGCACATGGGTCCCCAAAGCAGACCTGGTTCATGCAGGGAGTGTGTGGGTTAAGCCCCAATCTCACGAAGCACATGTGAGAAAATCAGAATGCAGAACAAGGGGTTCAAGGTTATGAATAACCTGTGCTAATCCCAGAGGCCCCAGGACAGAGTAAGTGGGAACAAACACTGAGCGTAGGGAGAGGGAAGAACACGAGGTGGGAAAATGGGTACACGAGGCTGGAGTAGGAGAAGGAAAACTTGGGAGCTGGACTTTCAAGTCATCAGATCCCACCTAGCCAAGATGGAGCCCTGCCCTCCTTTCCAGACCAGCCACCTGCTAGAGTCTCACCCCTGCCGGGGACAGCTCTGGCAGGAGGACACACGTGAACACAGCAGCGTGGCATGGTGCAAATGGAATCTTTGTTTTCGTCCTGACACTGTCACCAAGTGGCTCTGACCTTGGACAAATCACTTACCCTCTTCAGGTCTCAGTAATCCCGCTGCGGAATGAAGGGATTCCACCAGTTGATCTCTTAAAGTCCCTTATACGTGGCTTTTTCTTGATTTCCCTCATCAGCAGCACTGAGCTCAGGCACTATTGGGTATTTTACAAGAGGAATCTGGATAGAATGTGATTTGTTCAGCTCAAAAAAGGAAAATTTAAGGCTCTGGAGTGATTGGGAGGGGCACCCCTCAGAGTTCACTCCCCCTCCCCAGTCTTTCCCTTCCCCGTCCAAAGTCCAAACGGCACTTGGGGTGGTCGGTCTGGAGCTCTGTGGTGCTGCTGGAGGCCACTGTTAGACTGGACTAGAGATGGGTATCTTCCTCCTCATCCAGGTCGTCCTTGGTCAGGTTGTCCAGAGGGACGATCCAGCTGTCCCCCAGCTCCCCATTGAGGCTGACCACCTTTTTCTCCTGCATCTCAGAAGTGGTCTCCATCACTTCCAGTGTGGGGTTGTCATGGTAACCATTCTCCACTGTCTGCAGCTCCTCTGTTAGTCGTTGCTAGAGTGGGGAAGGTGAGCCGGTGAGAAGGGGATTTCAGAGAGCTCGGAGCTTAATACAGCACAGGTACCCCTCCCACCCCGGAGCCCCACTGTGGCTAAAGCAGGCTCACTGCTCCCCTGTGGGGCTGGCTGCTCCTGGTGGCCATTCTGGCTCTCAGCCTGCCTGGAACTAGTTTAGAACAAAGACTTGCCCCTCACCCTTGCCTTGGTGGCAGACCTGTGAAGTGAGTGGAGATGGACTTTGTTCTCCAGAGTCCACTAAGCTCTTTCTCCCCTTTCATTCCTTCCCCCAAAACCTCCTCTCCAGGCACCTACCTCACCTATTGTAATGAATGGGGAAAGACTATTTTAAAATGACCTCTCTCAGGCTGGTTGGCTGAGCCCTCTCTAAACCTAGGCAGGATGGGCACGGTGTACCTAAAAGCAACCCTGCGGCAGATAACAGCCATCTAGCAGAGGCACTTTCTGTCCCTCTCAGACACAACCTTGAGTGCACGCTAGAATCATCTGGGGAGCTTTTAACAATTACAGTGATGGACTCGGAGACTCTATGAATTGCTATAGAAGGCAGTCAGGCATGGGCATTTTAAAGTTCCCCACGTTGGGCAGGATGAGTGAGAACACAGGTCTGCGTGGCACCATTATGATGGGAATTCTAGTGAGGTAGGCGTTAGAATTTGGGGTTAGACAGGAACGCCTAGGCCTGCTCCTATCAGTGAATCCTCAGAGCAGCTCTGCAAGGTTATTCCTGCCATGCAGATGAGGAACCTGCTGCTCAAAGAGCTCATCTGACTGACTCAGGGTCAGAGCCAGGACTTAAACCAAGTCTTCCTGACTCTATTCTGCATGTGGTGGCTCACACCTGTAATCTCAGCATTTTGGGAGGCTGAGGCAGGTGGACTGCTTGAGGTCAGAAGTTTGAGAACAGCCTGGCCAACATGGTGAAACCCCAGCTCTACTAAAAATACAGGTGGTGCCTGCCTGTAATCCCAGCTACTGGGGAGGCTGAGGCAGAAGAATCGCTTGAACCCAAGAGGCAGAGGTTGCAGTAAGCAGAGATCGTGCCACTGCACTGCAGCCTGGATGAGGAGCAAGACCCTGCCTGAAAAAAATAATAAAAAATAAATAAGTCTTCCTGACTCCAAAGCCCACGCTGTGTCCTCTGCCACACTGCCTCTGTAATGTTCTGCGGACCGAGGTGGCTGCCTCTCACGAGTGGCCTCTGCCCATTACAAAGGGTCCAGGGCCCACTCTCTTCCCTATTCTGCAACTCGGGAATCATGAGGGGAGAGTTCCTCTGGTGACCTGGGCTGCTTCCCCCGCATGGCTGTAGACAGCTGCTTACCTGGTCCTTCCTCTGGGAGAGGCGCTGGTGGCAGCAGCCATAGAGGGCTGCCACGAGGAGCAGGAAGGATGCCATGCAGACGATGGTGATAATGAGGGGCATGCTGAAGCGGTCCTCGGCCTCTTCCGGTGGCCCCTGATCCCCCAGCTGCATATGACTGACCCCTGCCTGCAGGAGAGGTCGCAGAAAACAGGCTCAGGCACCCCCTCTTTTTCTGCCCCATCCCCCACCCCACATCACTGGAGAGCCCCCATGCTTAAGGTCTGCTGGGGCCCATGCAGCTGCCCTTTCCTCCATACAAGCACGTGAGGGGTTCCTCCCCACGGAGAGAGGAACAGGGGCTCAGCAACCAGACCTCCCATAAGGGATTTCTGAGCCACACTGTTCCCACACCTGGAGCCGCTTACCTCCTTTAGTTCATCCCATTTGTCCTTCAGCCGCTCGTACACATCCTTGGGAGGGAGCTTTGCTGTGGGAGAGGAGGGAGACACTGCCCAATGGCCCAGCCCAGAGCAAGGCAGTGGGGGACAGGGACCGTGCCCCAAGACAGGGACGCACTGTATCTGGGTCTCCAGAGTAAGTCTCTCGGGCAACCTGGGAGGGGGTGTGGCTTGACCGTTCTTAGCAAACTGAAGGGGCACCACTGTGACCCACCCCCTAATGTGACTCCTGCACCCCCCCATTCCCACCCACACAGGCCTCAGCCCAGACCCCCCCTTGCCCTCCACTCACTGTGAATAGTGATTTCTTTGATGGCCACTGCCTGACTTCCTAGAACAGGTGCCACCCGTATGCTGCACTCATCTTGGGCTGGGTTGAAGGTGGCTTTGACTGCTCGGCATATCAGTGTGACCAGTTTCTCATCTGGAGGGCCCCCTGCCTACGGTGGGGAGAGCATAGGTGACTCCTCGGGCGGCGTAACAGCAGCCTAGGCCTGTGGGCTGCCCTCCAGCTGAGGTCGGGAGGACACCGTTGCTCTGCTGGAACCTGCCTCTCTTCAGCCCCAGCTGGTGCTCCATGCAGGCCTGCCAGGAGCCGGGGGTTGTGTGCCGTTCTCCTGGGCCAGTTCCTACCTCCTCTGCCTCATTCCCATCAGCCCGTTCCCCATACTGTGTTTATCTGGTCTGTGCTTGCACCTTTCATTCCTTTCATCCTAGTGCCCTTTTTTCCCTCCAAGCTATTTGAGGTTTAGGGCTCTTTTTTTTTTTTTT